TGTGTTTAATTGTGGTGATGTTTTATTATACGTATTTTATTTTCAAAAATGATTACTACAACGACAAAAGAAGTCACAATAACCAAGAGCGTAACAAGTGGATGACCGTAATGATTTAGAATTAATCCTGTCAAAAATAACAGACACATTAGCACAAAACTCTGGTGTTTAGATTTATTTCAGCAGCACGTTGAACAAAAAAATTTAGAAAGGAAGACAAGACGCACTGATTTACCTACATTATAAAAATTGAACAGTAAAATTAATCTAATTTCAGATTCTCTAAAGGTAGGTTAGGCTTCGATGAGACCTTTTCTTTTCACCATCGTGTAATCCATGCAACTTTTCAACAGATGCTCACTATATAAATGTCTACAATTTTTTATTATGATTCATAGTTCAGTATAATTCCAAATTTTCATCTGCAACATTTCTAAGGTATTGAGCAAAAAGTGAGAGAACATGTGTAGCGAAAATTTGAGTAATCAAAATGACCATAATTCTCGATATTGAATTCTTGAATTATGATTTAACATTTGAGAATTAGGGTCTTTAATGAAAACTTGTAGACATAACGGATTTTATTATCGATTTTATTAAGAATTTTAGAAACACATTTGCATTTTTTTCATAGTATAAGCGAAAATAATCACATTGTTTTATAATATTAATTTATATTATCATGTATTCATCTGTAAGAAGCAAAAGTTTGATCGTGTGTAAATAATAAGAATTAAATCATAAAAATTGGCTTCAACTATCAATCGAATTGAGCCCATGTCGGGTTTGATATCATATCTTACGGTTTCGTTTCTTCTCTTTCTTACGTTTTTATTATTATTTTTTTTTGATCTGATTGGGATCGATTTAGTTCAATGACTATTACAAATTGTGTATGTATAATATAGCCTTTAATTATAGATGTATGACGATTTGCTATATTTAAAAAGTGATTAAATATAAAGAAAAAATATATACACACAAACCAATCATCATTTTAAGTAACTAATATTATTCTCTCAATTGAGTTAATCAAACGGCATGTATATACGTATACAGATATACAATTTCGATTGTTATATAATGTCGTCATCTTCTCTTTGACATCAAGTATTTTCGAGAGATAAAAAGAGTGCCTTACTACATACACACAACAGGAATCATTTTAATAACATGTAAACAAGATGATCAAAAGAAGATGATTAACACCATAATGTGAAAGATGGAATGGATTGAATGTCTCGTTTACATACAATAAAAATAAAACGTTCAAAATACACAATCATTTTAATTTGGTCTGCATGATCTGAGAAATAATTTCTCGTTTTTAAGCTTAAGTTACATCAAAACTATATAAAGTTTTGAGTTTAGCTTAAATTAGATAATGATATTTTATTTTTTAAGAATTAACGATGTTTAACTAACATTTATTTTAGTAACTAGAATTTGTCCATATGAGTCTGGATAATAAATTATTTTTTGTCTACTTTGGTGTAGACATATTCTTTCTACAGAATTCAGGTCTAGAATTTTTTTTTATCCATCATAGCGACTAATTTCTAAGAAATCAGCATAAAATTGTCATGAATATTATTATTAAAGCGTAACATGACATAAATATAACTTGTTTATATACGAGGGTGGTAGAGTTGGTTGGCTTGAATGGTATAATTCATACATGTATGATTTTAATGAGGGGGAGAGAGAGAGAGATTGTCAGAAAGAATTGAAGCAATGGATGATGGGAAAATCAAAATGTTTTTCATTTTCTTCTTTTTTGTTTTTGCTTGTAAGAACAAGTCAGGTACAAAACTTCTTTCGAAAGTTTTTTAAAGAACGAAAATGCTCCAGTGAAAAATTTTTACACAGAAACGGTTCAAAAAAAAAATAACAACACAACAGAACGATAAAAAAAAAGGATGAAGAGACGTATGTTTATAGTTGTTCATAATGTATACTACGCTCTGTATAAATCTTCCTTTACTTTAATTTGTCTCATTGTTTTTTCATTGTTAATTTTGAATAAACTAACAACTCAAATTTCTCTCATTGTTCATAATTGGTGTCGAAATTAATTTCTTTTTCAATTTTTTTCAATATGTTTTTAAGAAAAATTGTGTGAAATTAGTTTGTTACACTTGTACTAATTCTCCACCTATACGATCATAAACTCGACGTACTGTGTACCTCATATCTACTGTATACATGAGAAACACCTACATTTTTTTGTTCATTACACACAACATGAATCTGATTAATGTTAGACGCGTTATTGCGCAGTTCTTTGTAGCTAACAAAGAAAAGCGAGAAGTAGACAGAAATTCATTGAATACTTAATAGAGTCGTCATTTAATTGCCCACACTTCATTTTAAAAACAACTCTCAAGTTCATTATAGATATCTTTTTCTCTTTCTCTTTAATGCCTAGAAGCAGTCTTTATTAAATATAAGTTGTCAACATATTTAATTTATTTCATTCAATACAATACAGATTATATATAGGATATCATAACGTGCTGATTGAGATAGAGAGCATACAAAAGAAATTTGATTGCCTTTTATTTTATGAACACACTTTTTTCATATGTACCTAGATACGGTGCGATATTCTACACGTGCTGTTAGCAACTTTTTCACACAGTAGATTGAAAAAAACACTTTCTTCCACTGTAAGAAGCATAATAAATAATAAAAAAGACATTGAAAAATAGTTATTATATCTTTTTTTTGGATGAAAAATAAAAATGAAACATAATGTGCACAGTTTATATTAAATAATAATATAAAAATAATATTATATTAACTAAATGTTTCTTCTGAAATACTACAGGGCCTACATCTGCTTGTGGAAGTGGAATGGTGCCCCTGGACTCCGGAAGATAGCTCTGCTCTTCAGGATGGAGTGTCTTATTCTTGGACTGGTCACCTGTTGGTAAGGCGTAAAATAATTAATAGTTACTAACAAAAACAAACGAAACTGCGTAAATACACGCAAACAAATGTTCTTTGTTTAATGAAATGTACGATCATGTTTTCGGAAAACAAAAAAGAAAATTGATTTTGAAACAATTACATGAATAATGCTTAAATTACAAATAAGTAATAACAAACTAGCTTGCTGAAAAAGCTAGAAATGAAAGCTGTGATGACTATCCCCGAAATCAAATGCAAATGGCACGAAGGTGGCAGTCTGATGCTGTATCACAGCCTGATTTTCTTACGATCATTATTACAAAACATTCAACAACGACCAGATGAGCATATTCCAATTTATTGACATTGTGCATTCTTTTAGTTGTATTCTATGTTATTGTGTTTGTTTTCACCCTAGACCGAGTTTGGTAATATTTTATCTTTATCCTTATGTTAAAAGATTTATGATCTTTGTTAAAATACAAAAATTGTGCAATTAATTCGTATGATATAAACATTAAAAGATTTATGTGTTAGGATATGCGATAAACTAGTAGGTAAATTTGTATTATCGAAAAACACGTTTACTTCTCTAATTCAAAATTTTTAGAATGTGACTGAGAAATATATTAAATGGCAACATATAAGAAATTTAATTAAGAAGTTTCATTATACATCAAATTTTAGGCTGTTCCTTGTATGAAAAATTCATGCATCTGTAAAAATTTAGCCCTGATTCGTCTCTTATACGTATGCATAGGATAAATTGAACGACGTCTATTTTAGAAAAAGAAAAACAACAATAATTGACAATAAGATAAATTTATAGAAGATCAGTATCACTATGTTCACAAAACAAATTAATTATTCGTAAAAAAGTGACCATTAATCAGTTCTTAGCTGAATATCAAGAACAGAAGCCGAAATGTCGTATTTGTTTGGAGAATATCAATGCTGATCATAATCAATAGTGTTCAAAGGTTTCCAAATGTGTACAATATGGAGGTCAATACCATTCTCTTGATCAGAGTTGTGATGTAATAGAAAATTATCGAGCTGATCTGAATAGTAATGTTAAATAAAGCAATTAAAGAAGATACGGATATTTGCTAGCAACAAGATAGGCAGCAACAACATGATTTCTAATACGGCGCAGTTCATCTTTCAGATGTATCTCGACAAAATAGACAAAATAGTAACAATAGTAATAATATATGAAGAAATAATGATTATACACTGACTAGTGGATTACAACAAATATTGAATGAAATACATGGAACGATGACTAATATTAATGAAGATTGATAAAAATTTGACACTATATGCAAAGAAAAATTCTATAAATATTTCAAATAGTAAAAATTGTATAGAAGAATTAGTAATAACGGTGAATTATTTGGTCGAAAATGTAATTAAACAAGTACTTGAACAATCTGATCGTTTTGATTTACCAAAATATGATTCAACAATGATAAAATTAAATAAAGTGGAAAAACATTTATTAGAAATGTATGTATTTGACGATGAGGATGGACAACGGATAGAAGTTGAAGACGAAGTCAATGATACGTTCAATACAAGTCCATCATAAAGTTGAACTCCCATGCGTCAAGTTTTGTACCTAGTTCTTATTCTTCAGACATTCTAGATGTAGCCAGACATGCGATTTTGAGGTTTTTCAGATTGTATTGTGAAGAATATTTTCTCTCATCTTTCTGAATGGTATAATCGCAACACCTTGAGAATATCTTGTCTGATTGAGAATTATACGATAAAATAAATAATAACGAGGAGTTTAAGAGTCGGTTGGTAGCAGTGATTTTTTAAAATTTTAATGTGGAAGGTTGGGATATAGAAGCTTGGTGGAAGTATTTGAGTTGGCTCACAAGTCTGATGTGTCCATTTGTATTCTGACCAATGTGAGGAATTTGTGAAAATACCAAAATTGAATACTTTTTATTAGAAAGGTACAAATAAATGTGAAGGGTTTTATGTAATTTTCTCATGTTAGGTAGGCTGAATACCAAATTGTGCTATGCTTGCTTCAAGGTTTTTTATATTATAAGATTATCTCAAGAATCGAGTGGTATAGGCGTTATGTACGTTGTGCCACAAACCTGTCGGAAGGAAGGCGTACATAGTTTGGGGAGAGTTAAAATCGAAAGTCTTTTTTGTCTACTTGAGATTACTAGGGTAGTTCTTTGAGTCCTTTCCTTTTTATTATTTTTCACGCCCGCATTATAACAGAAGTATAGATTCGGCGTCAGCCCATATTTTTGTGAATGATTTTGCAGTGGTTATTACTCCGCCGATTTATTAATCATTCCATACTATAGTAAACTATCAAGGAGATGAAGGAACAAGAATATGTACTAGGTTGGTGGAGTACTCTAGGAAATGGCTACAACCTATGAGTTACTAAAAAACAGTAGATTAACTCTTTCATTCTTAGGTGTGGAGCCTTTTTTCGTCTTAATTTTTCTTTTTTTATGTTATTATCTCCATCTCAACAGGAATTATTTCATTGAAAATTTGAGGTGGGATGCACATTGTACGTTTTTAAGTTTATTGTGCGTCGTTTTGAATCATTGTATATAACTAATTTATGTAAGTCCCAGTTTTTCAACAATATTTTTTATTGGGACACTTTTAAATATGACAAAAGAACTGATTTAAGCTTTATTTATTTTTAAGTGAGTTCAATCGTATAGAAATACATTATAGCTCTCGATAGAAACTACACATTTAGACTAAGAAAAGTCAGAAAACAAATTTAAAGGTATGGATCCTCCTTATTGAAATAGTTTAAGTTTTTGAATTTGTTTCCTCGTAAGTTTTTTTCTAGTAGACTGTGCGTCAAATTTTAATGTTTTCATGTATGTATGCTGTTTAAGTACAGCTCCACAAAGTCCTCTAATCTTGTAATGTTTTTGTGCGCCAAATGCTTTCGTACCTTTCATGTTCAACAAGTATAGAAAAAACAAATTCATTTACAATGCTTTTTCGAAGTTTTATTGTAAAACGAATTATAACCATAGCTAAAAGGACGGCATAAGACGGTATAAGACGGCAGTTCTGGCCCCCCACTTAAAACCAAACTATTATATTATGATTAGATAGAGGATCATTAGCTAACTGAGTCGAATAATGTGTATTTCGAAATTTTTAGTCGATTTTCATTTTCTGATGAAAATCTCGATAATTATTCAACATGAAAATTCGAAAAAAACTAAAGTAGTCGGATAACCTCTCCCCATCCCCCTAGAATAGAAGGCCGCCCTCTGTACGAGGCCATGTCTGGCAAAAAGTTCAAACGCCCTAATAGAAGACCATGTATTTATTAATTAATATTTTCTAAAAACTCAATATTTTTATATTATATATGTATATATGAATGGTATAATCGCAACACCTTGAGAATATCTTGTCTGATTGAGAATTATACGATAAAATAAATAATAACGAGGAGTTTAAGAGTCGGTTGGTAGCAGTGATTTTTTAAAATTTTAATGTGGAAGGTTGGGATATAGAAGCTTGGTGGAAGTATTTGAGTTGGCTCACAAGTCTGATGTGTCCATTTGTATTCTGACCAATGTGAGGAATTTGTGAAAATACCAAAATTGAATACTTTTTATTAGAAAGGTACAAATAAATGTGAAGGGTTTTATGTAATTTTCTCATGTTAGGTAGGCTGAATACCAAGTTGTGCTATGTTCGCTTCAAGATTTTTTATATTATAAGATTATGTATATTTTTCACAAAAGAGCGCACTTAGTCTGAGAAAAGTGCCTTTAAAAAATTAATTAATTATTGAAATTTTAAAAGTATTATTATTAATAGTTGGCCAAAATTTGACCCTCAATAGAAGGCTACCCAAAAAGTAGCGATGTGACAAGACACTGTATAATGGCATGGCCTTTTATTCTGGGAGGAGGGGGTTAGGATAGAAATACACATCATTCAACTCAGTTTTTGATCCTGATTCCGAATATGATATTTTTTATTATGGAGAAGTTGAGTTCTGTTAGAAAAAATTGAGAATTACGAGCAGAATTCTGAGTTTTATTATCTCTGATCGAACTTGCCGCTACAATATCTCGGGTCGGACAAAATATCGTTTGGTCAAATTTTTACCATAATAACTAACATATATGAGGATGTTTTGGGGAAACTGTGGAGGATGCCATAATTCAAATATTCGAGTTATTGAAATTTTAATTTTTTCGAAATTTTTGAATTTTCTCGTTTTGAGGCCAAAATGCCTTCCCAGGTCGAAGAATCGTACTAGGATCGTCACGATATCTGAATCAGACAAAATCGTACGAAATCGTATGAAAATCATATATGGATCATGGTATCTGATTTGTCCTCTGGATCGTATAATACGATCGTACAAGATCATATACGATCATACAACTTCGTATGAAATCGTACAGTACGAGCCAGACGACAAATCAGGTACCACGATTCGTATGTAGATCGTACATAATCATATATGATTTCGTACGATTCGTATCTTGCACGATCGGATAGTACGATTCAATCACCTGGGTTGTGTTTTCAATGAACAAGAGTTAAATTTATTATGGATATTAAAAGAAGATTTGTGCAAAATTTGATGGGGAGTTTATTGGTGAAAACCATTTTCCGATACCTACTTTGACTATGTTGAGTTACAACATTTTTAATCGAAATCACTCCATATTGGAGACTGCATGAGAAAAACTTGATTTTCTATCCAAGGACAAGCAATTTTTGAGAGCCGACAACACGTTTGAATGTGCCTAACAATCTCCTATCCAACCATAATATAATAGTTTGGTTTCAACGGGAGCACATTTGCCGTCTTATCCGGGAGGGTTCTTTATTATTTTAAGCTTTCGAACGTCGTAAAAAGAAAGAAGGCATAAGGGTATGAATATTTTTGATCACCAAATCCATTAGGCAAGAAAGAATTTACCAAAAACAGAAAAAAAAAATGGAAAAATAAAACGAAAAGTTTATGGCAGTACGTATTTTTGTTGGACAACCTTTACCTTATCTCTTACCTAATGGTTGACAAGGACTTTTGTCGCTAACTTGGTACATATTAAATGTAGTGGCCAATCCAACTGAATGCTTGCCATGTGCATTGTTTGAGACCAATTGGACACCTACTCGATGTAAGTCGCGATACTGACCAACATGATGTTTGCCATATAATAAAGCCATCGAATGATGATCATTGACCAGACCAATACATATCCAGCCAATCAGATGATGGTATTGTTGAAGTTGATGATGAAACAACATAAAATAAGTTAAACCAATGTAGTATATTAGTACAATTTACGGTTACTCACCATTCTGTTTTTGTACGAATAAGTTTATGCCACAATTAAAAACGTCATCTGAAAAGAAAGTTGTACAGTATGAATATCAGCATCTATACTTACGCACTGATCTGCTGTGACTAAATTACGATATGGTCTACATTTTCTTATTATATGGCTCCAATACATCATGCGACGACCATATGAACGCGTGCTGAGTTCACGTGATACTGAAATAATAAACGTAACACGTCTTATTAACCAGATGAGATAAACGAAATCCGCCATCAAATGATCCATTTAGCATAGTTTATTGAATTTTTGTATAGATAATGCATTAATCAGTGAGATTATATAATTGATTATGACATTTGGCATTCTTATCATAAGAAACTAAAGCAATAGTAAATGGTTTGAAAAGACGATCTGTATTTGGTGATCCAAACACCAAAAGTGGTAATTCGTTCCAGATAACTTTGTATGTAGCATGAATTTGTAAATATGTTGATACCCAAGTTTGTTGAAGCAATTGTTCAGTTGTAAAACAACTAAAATATTATTAACATTATCAGTTGTATAGAAGGGTGCAAGAGCGACGTGCAGCTGCTAGCCATCATTGTGTTGATTACACTAATTTCGTAAATCAAAACTAAAAATATTTCTGACCTATTCTTTCAACGTTCTTAAGTGACCAAATTAATTAATTTAGTTCTCGTTATTAGAATACTTGAATGAACCTGAACTATCCTAGACAAAATCCTACGCACTTCCTGTCTATTTCCTAATAGAATCTCTTACAGGACCCTAACATTTAGGATCCACCTAATAACTTCCTAGCAGGATCCTAAAATGCTAGGATCCTACCAGGGTTTCACTTAAGTTTATTTAGGTTTCTAACAGAATCTTAGAAAATCCTATGACTTTCGGC